AATAAAAACTTAGTCCCCTTCAATCTCTCCTCTCCTAATCTCTTTCTTCAAATTGTTAACAGCTTGACTGTACATACATATATCCTTTCAGATAGTCTTGCATATTTATGTAAATAATTACTGTTTACTTGTTTGCTATAAATTGGATCACACCTACAGTTCTATTTATGGCATTTGCAACTCACCCAAACGGCTTGGAGATCTGTTTGTACCTACAGATCTCATCCTAGCGGCTGGCAAACCACAGCCTGTGGGCCGAATCCAGCTCACATCCGTTTTGTCAGTACAGTTTTACTGGAACCCGGCCATGCTCACTTTGTATGTCTTGTGTCAGATTGCTTTCCTGCGACCAGGGCAGGGCTGAGCAGTCGTGACAAAGACCTAACATCCTACAAAGCCCAACGTGCTTCCTATCAGCTTCTTTACAGAAAAAGTTTGCCAATCCTTGATCTATCCTGTTCTTATTAGTATCAGCCCAATATGCCAGCTAATAAATTATATTTTACCAATAAATATGTAGTTCCTTTTAATTTTTCCACATTATGATAATGCTGCAATGAGTAAGTACCAAGGGTTATATTTTGAAGTCTTTTCATAATATAAACCACTGTATAAGAAACTTGCGAAAGGTGCCTCTAATTATTCCAACCACTAAAAAGGAATTATGTGATGTCAGAGGTGCTAAATACTGCTGCAGTATTCTGTACCTCACATCACATCATGTATCTTAACCTCATTTAAGAAAAGAAATTCAAGTGCATGATTACTGTTACATGTAATAATAAATCCCATCTGAAGTTATCAAGATTTCCTAGACCAGGGGTTGGCAAACTTTTGAGACAGAAGAGCCGCCAGGGGTCAGCAAACTGTGGCTCGCAAACTGTGACTCTGAAGTAAAACTGAATATGAAAATAAAACTATCACAGTTTCATTTATAGAATTTGTAAAGGATAGTATTCACATAACAGTGATTATGTAAAAATATATTTATGGCTCTTGAATAATTTTTAAATTGTTGTGAGGGACAGGATTGGCTCTTGCAGGGGTCGGCAAACTGTTGAGACGGAATGTACCCAAACAGCCGCATGTGGCTCGCAAGCCGCCGTTTGCAGACCCCTGTCCTACAATATTCATCCAGTTCTTCCCTTACTAAACAGGTGACATAGGGAAAGCCATTTCCTCCTTTATAAACAAATACAAATCAGAACAATCAACTGATGATACAGCATACTGAAATATTTGAAAAATCTCCAAGATCCTTCAAGGGCCTATTTTTATTCCTAAAGTTTAATTTAGGTGTTTTTCAAATCTACCCCCTAGTTTAAGTTGTAGTTTTTACCCCCTAGTTTAAGTTGTAGTTTTTCATGAGGGATTATTCATTTTCACCGTGAAATAATTCTCAATGTCCTCTCTTGCCTGTGGCACCTGCTAACTCTTCCTCATGGTGCCTTACTTCCTTCCCTGCTGTCCACGGATTTTTTTGTTTCTTTTTTTGTAAGCTCAGCTTCAGCCTTACAGAACTATATTCCTCCTGTGGGATTTTCCAGATACCCTGTCATGTCAAAGTGACTGTACAGTACTACTCTGTTTTTGTTTCTGCTGGGGTCCCTCAGGGTTTCATCATTCGCAGATTGGGATTGCATTCAACCTCTAGTGAAAATTGCGCAGGTTGGGGTTCCAGTACATACGGATGGTGTAAATTTGGACCCCAGTTCCGTATATGATACAGAATTCTCACTCAGGGTCTTTGGCAAGGGTAAGTTCGAATGCTGCTTCTGAGGGGCCAGCAGGGTGGGGTTCTCCTGGGCCCCTCAGCATGGAGGTTCCAGCTCTCACCGTGTGCCCTGAAGCCACCTGTCCTGTCCCCAGGCAAGGGGGATGCTCGCTATTGCTCTATGAGTCCCCTCAGGGGGTTTCCTTTCTGCAGGCTCAGTCATGTACTCATTTTTTAAAAGAATCTATTTTATCAAACATTTTTGTTTTATAGCAGAAAGCAGGGGTTCAGTATGCTTTACCGATAAAGGTCCTTAAATATCAATTTCATACTGCCAATCAAGAAATACGCTCTCTCTCATGGGCCGGCCAAATGGCTCGTTGGTTAAGAGTTGGCTTGGGAGCANCATGAAACCTGACTCTCATTCCATTATCTCCAGAGGTATTGGGACAGTGGGGCTAGGTAACCCTTAATGCTAAGCTCAAACAGGAGATTCCATAAAATTAACAGGCTGAGAAAAGAAATAACGTAGGTGACAGGGTCCTAGTCTTAGTTCAGGCATGGAATCACCGTGTAATCTTGGGCAAATCCTTTCATCTGAGCTTCAATTTCCTCATCTGAGCTGCATAAAGCCATAAAGCCACACTGAGCTCTGAAATCAAAGTCACAGCCAAGGGATCCAAATGCAAGTGGGTTACAAAGAAAAACAGGTTACACATAAAATAAACCCTCGTTTCTTGATGCCGGTCTCATCGGAGACAAGTGTGTCCTGTCACGAAGCTACTCTTTGCTGTAGGAACCAGATTCTGGCTCTAAGGGTCATTTCCTGCAGCCCTGCGTTTTCTACTGGTGTGAATGCTTTCAAGACAAGTACAACATGAATGAATAAAGCCGGGAAGGAAAGCTGTTGGAAATCCCTTTTTATATAATCGAGGGACTCCAATGTATACAAAAACTACGCAGCAGATAAAGCAGGGCCTTATTTTTAAGGTTAGCATCCTGACCGCCACTGTGGAGTAATATGAATCGTAGGATGAGCACTCGCCAGGTGACAGGAAACCAAGAATCTACTGGCCTTGGGTGAGTGATATGAATGAACCATGTGAGCCAGTCTCGTCTGCAAAAAATGGGGGTAACGCCGCCTGACTCATGGAGAGGATTGGAAAATTACAGGAGAAATGGGTTATTNTGCCTGTTTTCCTCCGAGACCAGTGCTCCCCACATGTGGGAACGAACACTCTGCAGGAGGGGTGCACAGAGTGACTTTTGGCAGACAGGAGGAAAATTTTAAGCCTCATTCATGTTGATTTAAAGAGACACGGAGTTAATATGCAGGCTGATATGCTGGTGCCTCGCACAGCCTGTCCGTTCGGCAGCTTCCTCTCTACGTGACACTACAGGTTTCTGGAGGGAAGAAGACGCACTTGGAAGGTGAGTTAGGGGCATGTAACAGTGGCAACGGTCCTCACTTGTTCACTTTCAGCATGTTGTGATGAATGGAAATTTACAGGTGCTCAATTAAGTGAGCTTATGGGTTATGTCTACCTTCAACTAAAATAAAAGGGAAAAAGAGACTTATACAAATTCCTGCAAAGAAAATGATGGCTCTAAGGCAGCAAGTCTTAATACAAACGTTAATGCAAATCTCTAACCAGCAAACAAAAGAAAATGGCAAATGTGGCTTCTCTTAGTCCTCACATGAGCTCTCTGTTACGTAGAATACAGGACACACATGTAATTTTTATGTTAAATATATATCCCCCGTGTGAGCAGGCTAATCAAGATGTTTTAATGATAGATGTGCATACTAAAACGCTGTGTGGTGACGACTCATTTTGCTGGTAAGTCACAGAGGAAGGACAAAAATGCGTGATATCTGCCCACAAGGATTCATGAAGGTTTACATGAGAGCGCCAGTGATGTTGTCTTTTGTAAAATTAGGACAGTTAAACACACAGGGCTAGAAACAACATTTGGAGCACAATATATCCATAAAAGTCACTTTATGAGCATTTGAGTGATAAAGCCAGTCACTTAAAAAGTAGCAACATGGATAAGATAGGCTGTGGGCTGTGTGTTGGCTGTAGCTACACTCTTTCTCCTCCGTTAAAGAAAGCAAGTGAGTGGAAATTATTAAGGCAGTAACTTTGAATCTGCTCAAATAAACTTACCATTTTCAAATTTCAGTAACTATTTTTGGTAACACATCACCTGGAATACGCCACATAATGACTGAAAACTAGACAATGCCATGACATCATGGTCTGAGAAGTGCTTTGTGGCGTTTGAAGTAGTCACTATTTTGTCTAAACTGGTTACAGGTGTTAACAGGATGCTGGTCACCTCTGCCTTCTGGGTGACTGATCTCCAGGCTGGTCACTTCTGACCGCGAGCAGCCTCCTGACGTACCTTGGTGTGTGTTACAGGTATGATTATTTCCTATCTGTGGAACAACAACATTTTCAGACATAGTGTCTTGGATTAGGGCTCTGTCTACAAATGACTGCCTGTGGGCCAAATCTGGCCCATGAGCTACCAATGCTTTTTACATTTTTAAATGGTTGAATAAAAGAAGCGTGCTATTTCGTGATGCATGAAAACTACAAGGAATTCACATTTCCCTGTCCATCAATGAAGTGCTTCTGGCGCACAGCCATGCTCATTGGTTCATATTGTGTGAGCTGCTTCTGCGCTCAAGTGGCAGGAGGGTTTGGGAGTGGTGGCCACAAAGTCTAACACATTTGCTATCTGGCTCTTGACAGAAACAGTTAGCCGACCTCTTAGACCACTATCTTATCCAAGGCAGGACCCATGCTCGGTTAACAGGCTCGGCTTGAAGGTGGCTTTAAGCAGGTCAGCCATAGGTCAATATACGACATCTCTCCCCTGTCAGTCTTCACAACTCCATGTCAGTCGAGAGCCGAAGCTTATACCAAAATACCCGAATAAAAACTGAGCATACACAACCTGACAAAGGACTGCTGGGTAGCTTTAGGGTTTGAAGCTACGCAATTGTTTTAATGCTGACACAGACCTCTGGACTGGGCAGTGGCTTAAGGACAACAGAACAAAATGTCGGGCATCAGGGCTCTCTGAAAAGCCATATAGGCTCTACGTTCTATGAGTCTATCTAGAATGTATTCCTTCAATGTGTAAAGAAAGATATAAAAAGGGCTACTTCTCCATATAAACAAGGAACAGATAACGGGTGGGATGGCCAGGAAACGAGAAATGAGCTTTGCTGAGCCAAGAGAGGTCCCACCTTACAGGGAAGCATGTGTCTTACTTGCACAAGTGTAGGCATCTTTGGTGCTGAAAGGCTTCGAGCACTGGCTGCAGCTGATGGGACCCACAACAGGAATGGAGCTGAAGGAGTGGCCATTGAGAATCTTCTTGTCCTTCTCCTTCTCTTTAGCATCTTTCTCCTTCTCTTTAACTTTATCTTTCTCTTTTTCCTTTTCCTGCCAAAGAAAAGAAATCAACCGTTAATTGAGCACTAGAAGGCCTTCCCTTTACCTGGGCAACCCAGATGGCATGTGGGCCACAGTGGTTGACAAATGCTTTGGACAAATGTTAGGAACACCATCCTGGACAATTTTGTTTTTATTAACTGTTGAGCAGTCAAAGCTACATGAGAGAAACCACAGGAAGGCTGGGCCGGCACAGCAGTGCTGTCGGTGGCTCGTTCAGTGGTCACTTATTCCGACACACACAATGCCCAAGCACCAACACTGGAAACAGCTGTCTCATGCTGAAGAAGGGGGTGTCTGGGCTCCCCGAGAGTCCTCCTCCGGAAGCCAAACACAGCCCACATGGACAGCAAGAAGTGGTTTAGGGCCAGCTGCAGGCAGGGGGCGGAAGACAGGATGGCAGCAATTCCGGGAGCAGGCTGAGTGGGAGGAATGATGACTGGGGCGCACAAAAGTTTCTGAGGTTCCTCCGACTTCCTCACACCCATCACACATCCCAGCTGAGGGCCCGCCTCTCAGGTCCGCTCCCTCACTCTAGCAGGAAATATTAAGTACTCCCCACATACACGGGTTCAGTTTTTACTAATAAGAATTTCAAGGTTCACAGATAGTAACTTTGGCCCAATTTTCAAATTGGGGGAAGGAGGAACTTAAACTCTGAAAACTTAATAAATAGGGATGAGTGTTAGGTTCTTAATAAAATATCTAAAGCAGTCAGGGACATTCCAGGGGCACCCACTCCTCGGAGGCTAGGACTGTGGGGTGTAGCTGTGCTCTTCAGAAACGGTCCTTGAGAAGCAATCAGGCAGAGCATCAGCCGGTAAATCAATATCAACTGAATAACTTTCTTTCCAACCAACTGGACTATGAACTACAATCCACCCAGGTAGGAAGAATGCACTTAGCAGCTGCCATAATCACTAACGGTGGGGTACCCGCTTTCTGGGGAATATAACACTATCGTTACGATCTAAAAAAATGCCTGGAAAACGGGGACTCTGAAGTCAGTGGCCATGAGCACTACTAAATAAATGCCGTACACTTTGAATCAATGCCTTTTACACGCACGATTCCATCGGATTCCCCAACTCTGAAATAGGTGGGGTGGGCGTTATGCTTTCCATTTTACAACTGAAAAGGTAAAGATGACAGAATAATGGCTCCGTTTTTGAACCGTTATCAGGTGCCAAGCATTGTCATAAGCAATTTCACACATATTTTCTTTCTCCCCACACCCTCATGAAGTAAGTGCTAGTTATTATCTCCATTTTACATCTGAGGAGATTTAGGCTTAGAGATGTTTATTACCGTATGTATATGAGGCCACACTAATAATTATCAGAGCTGGAATTAAGATCCAGGTCTGGCTGACTCTAAAGCTCAGGCCCATTCACGTCATTCCAGCCAAGCGCTCAAGAGGTCTGTGACTCACAAAAGGTCACAGAGCAAATGAACCCAGCTTTCCTGACTTCCTACTCAGAACCCATCCACTGTAATGAAACAATGAACCAGCGCTAAGTCTGATTCACGTCCAGTCCTTTTTAACAGAACACACACACACACAATAAAAATCTAAGAGCTGAACTGCTACACTTTAGAACTATAAAAAATAACAAAAGGAAGGGAGAAAAACAAACTACTTGTACTTCACTTTACAAAACAGGAAATTGCTCTGGGCGAAAATTAGTATCTATCACAGTACATAAAACTCCAATAAAAATCCATAACCAAAAAAATGAGTTTTTCAAGTAATGTCTTTAACTAAATTTTGCAGAAGGGTTTTCTGTGCATAAAATGTTAAACTGAAAAGTATCTGACTTTTTGCTTAAGAAAAGTTAAAAGCATGCTCCAAGAGTAAAACAAATCTATGGCAACTTATTCTCTCAAACCTTGCAATGAATGATCTTCAAGTCTGAACAAAGAACAAATACTATCCTCATCCTTTGCAACAACTCGAAGTAGTCCTTCCAAGGATAAAAACAAAACACAGTGAACTCCATTGTCTCTTTCTGTGTTTATTAGAATTTAGTGCTTTAAAGAAGTTAGGCTCTTACCTCCCCATGTTTTGGTCCTATGAATCTCACTGTTATTTGGGGCACTTCATAAAAACGACCCCATTTGACCGACATGATTCGACCCCCATGCCAGGAAATGTGCTCTCAGATGAGGAGAGGCAGAGCCCAGCAGCTTGGTGCTGCCATTACAGAAAACGTAAGAGGAAGCCAGAGGCTGGTTGAGAAAGGGACGGAGGGAGGGCTGAGGCTGTTGGTTTCCTTAACACAAGATTTAACTATTTGAATGCTGCCAGTAAAGCGACAACCCTCGCTGCAGAGAACACAGGAAATGAAACAAAACTAATTCCCCAAAACAGTTGTGTGTGGATGGTGCTCAAGTTGCAAGATGGGAACTCTGCAAGGATTGGGGCCAATTTTTAAACGCTGGGCGTTAAGGAACACATCTCACCTATTTAGAAACAAACTCATTTCATTTAAAGCAGTACGATTCCTCAGAAACGTTTCAGTGAAGTCGCCTGTGGTAAAGTGATGATCGGCTATTTTTTGAAAGGTGACTTTTCTATGTTTAGCAATTGCCAAAACGCTTTAACTGCGTGCCAGGGAAAGAGAAGCTACCAGTATTTAAAGGGAAAGGCGCAGATTAACAGCTGCACTCGGATAATATGAAGGAAAATAAGCTTTCACTTTTCTAAACCTACTGTTTTAGACAAGCAATGAAAATTTAAAAAGTCGGAGAATACTCTGGACAACTGTGAAACATGCTGTGATGAAGCAACTGTCACAGATCTTTAATCAAAGGACTGAGTGTAATAATTAGATTTAAAACACTGACTGAAGCCTTTGCAAACACTCTAGCAGGCGCCTCAGAAAGGCTGACAGGTTTAGTCCTGTTTGATACAGACCACAGGAACTAGGCGTTAAGGCTGAACATCTTGTTATGAAGTTACGGAGTATATTAGCAGCTGTACAGGAATTTAACCCTTACAGCCAAATGTGTCTACTTCAAGTCATATTAAGAATTTGTCTAAAACATTTCTAACTATCTCCTAGTTGTCTGCAAAGCTTAGGAAAAAGAAAATCAGAGTGATGGGACAGTTTGAAGAGGGGCACTCCACTTCCTCTATGGACGAGGACATCGTGCAGATGAGTGCTTAAAACACTCTGCAGCAAGCAAACTTAGCAAGCAGGAAGCAGTACTATCTCTCAAACAGACAAAAGCAGAAACTGCCCGTCTTCCTGTTAGACTTCCTGTAAAGGCTCTCCTACGTTTGAAAACACATTCAATAGATTTAACTAATAACTCATGCTAATTATTATTGATAATCCCTAAAGGGACACAGGAAGGATCAGTATTCAATTTCTCAAATCAGGTATGTATCCCAGTGCTACAGGCAAACAATGTTATTACCCAGGAATGTAAACCATTTGCCACCTAGTGACCTGGCTCTGGGCTCCTCTGAATGTACAATAATTTACCAATTGTTGCTCACATACAATAAATTAAGATAACAATTAACATACTGACTAATATATCTAGGCTAATAATTACAAACTATTTTATATGCCTATACATCATGCTTAATTATAAGGAAAGTAGAAATTTCCAAACCATTCTTAAGAGACTTTACTAAGGCTTAGAGGTGGCAATTTAATAGAATTTTCAGTACATGCTGAAATTTTTCCTTTAAAAGAAGTAATAGGGTTGGTTACATTGTAGAAAGAATTAAAAAAAGCAGATTCAATGAGTTCTAATAGCTTGTCTTTAAAAAATAATTCAAAAGAAAAATGTATTATTTTCATTAAAAAAAAACTAGTGTTAACATCTATAGTAACATTTCCAATTTTTTAACATTATGCAGAGGTATCATTATTTAATAGTTAATAAAAACAGTAGTTAGCCTATCACACTAAGAAAATAATTGTTTCTGTGTTATCATTCAGAGAATAAAATGCTTCTGCATGGTTAAGCTCTAATGTGAGTGCAATGGCATATAAAGACAGGGTATTTAATGTAACTTAAAAGTGTGTTATTTCACTATTTCCTCTATTTCTTACTACCTTTTGGTACACTGACAAAGGGCAAGTTATTCTAGTGGAGGTTCTAAAACAATCTTATTTAAGATTAGCTAGTAACAATTATGAAAGATGATTCCTAAACTTCTTAATGTATTTGGCCACTGGAGTACTCTAAACACCTAATTATGTGAAATGAATTGCAATCCAGGGTTACCGATATGCAATTTTTTGAGTTTCCATTGCTAGAGTTAGCACAGGCCCCCAAAGATCAAATCTTGAAGCCAAGAGATAAACAGGAACCATCTCATTGCAAAAGAGTGTTGTCATTTTGACAAGAGGTCAACTCATCCAGTTTCTGCCAGTGATTATAATTTCCTTCTAACACAAATTACCTTCTTTTCTCCTGCCCTTTCTCTTCATCCTCCTACTAGCAAAGCTCCAGTCTTTTGAGATTATTAGGAGAGTTAATAAGAAAAAGATACTGTTTAGTAACAGATTTTGTGTACGAGCGAGCATGAAATGGAACGTACTACTTGCTGGAAGTCACAGCAGACTTCTCTGTGCTTCTGTTTACAAAATACGAAGGGCTGGGATGAGACTTTTTTAAAGGTCAGGTTCCAGTTTCTAAATTCAGCCTTCCACTGTTTTATTCCAATCTGTTTGCATGGCCTCATCAAAGCGATCAGTGGTGTAATTCACTGTTTGGCCCTAAAGGTCAGTGTCACTGGGCAGATGGATACGAAAGGGGACTGACTCTCCACTTATTTACTGGTCTTCCAGTTAAAAGTTGGTTTAAAGAAAAGATTCCCCGGTTTAAAAACAAAATGACAACACAGACATGTTGAAATCTTCCAAACAGATCACGATTTTTTTCAAGGAAAGACCATTAGATTTACTTCAGTTACGTGCTTGGTGGCACCTCGCACAATGCTGGGACCACAGCAGTCAATCCTGACACTTGCCTTACTGGTATTAATCTTTCCAAGGAGATTTTCTTTGGCTGATGCCAACCCCTGACCAAGTAGAAAACAGACAGGCTCTGCGTTAAGCCTTGCCGCCAATATGTAGAGTACCAAGAAGCATTCTGCCTTCTTTTACCTAATTTTTGAATTATATAACATGGGTGAGTATAAAGGCAGTACACTTAAGTATGTGATTATTCTAGAAACAACTAGCTAGACTCTTTGCATCCTCTCCTGCTTTTCCTGACTGCCCACTTTCTGTCCATTCTGCACGTGAGCCGGAGAAGCCAAGAGAAAACACAATTCTGATGGCAGGTTTTGTGGAAAAACTCCTCTGAGAGACGAGCAAACCGTATTCGCTTAAAGAATGTGATCCTATTTACAAAACTTAGTAAAATACACATGCTCTACGTCTACCAGCCTACATAACTGAGGGCCTAAGAAGCTTTGGGTTTTGTTTATTTGTTCAGTTTTTCAGGAGGAAGAGAAGTGTGGGGAGGTGTCCTTTACAACAGGATTCTTGACTGTAGTGTTTGTTTATTCGCTTACTTCTAAGTATGGACATATGTACCTGTGTATGTATATTACACCCCTCCCCCCTCACACATATGGTGTATATATTGTGATGCCTTGGCAAGAGCTCCTGAACTGATTTGCAGTATTTTACATATTTCTTTATTTTGTTGGAGGTTGGGTGAATGGAGTTTAAGGGAAAATGGAGGCAGCAAGTTTTTCCCCAGCACTGAGAATCGGTGTAAGAAAGCTCACTCCTTTTCCTTTTCTTTTTAAAATGGATTAAAAAAAAAAAAAAAAGAAAAAGAAAAAAAGATAAGAGTAGTTATGTCTATGTGTGGTGATTTTGATATTTTAAATATTCTTATGAGCATGAAAACATTAATAACTGGACAGAAAAATGTTTACATGTGTTATTTTAACCTCTTAGGCACTAAAGAGGATACACTGCAATATGCTCCCNGCATGCTACCTTCTCAAAGCATGCTTTATACCTTTTGGGCTGGATCTCGCCAGCTCATACAAGCGTCCCCTCCACGCTAGCATCCAGTTTCCTAGGTTATTTGCTCCTTAAATCATGCACGCGAAATGAGACTGAGTGGGAAAATGTGAGGGGATCATGAAACAGCGGGGAAACTGAGGCCCCCGTTGTCTATGGGGCCCTCCCAAGTTCGCAGGCAGTGAGTGAGCAGCAGAAGGTAAGGTTTGAACCCAGCTTTACCTTCATCGTCTTTAAAAAAACCCAATAAGGACAAGGTCTCAAAGGCGGCATCAGGAAAGTCCGCGTTCCCTTCTCTGGGGCATACTACACAATAAAATGACTGTGTGCTTTTACCAAGTCGATTCTAAAATAGGGTAGGTATTATTCTAAAATCAAATTATCGGGTCTTCTTTTTAAGTTAAATGGGGATTGCCCTGAGCATCCTAACGACTTTCTTTCCATGGGCCCACTCTGCATAGCGACGGAAAACATAGATGGTCATCGATGCCAACTTTAGAAGACTCTTTTAGGGTGTCTTAGCTTTCTCACTGTACTGGGTTGAACGGTGTCTTCCTCAAATTCATGTCCTTCTCAGAATGTGACTTTATTCGGAAATTGGGTTTTGCAGGTGTGATTAGCTAAAAACGACATCATAGAGAAGGGTGGTCTCAAACCCAGCGGGAGCGGTGTCCTTCTAAGAAGAAGGGGAGAAGGACTGTGGAGACGGAGGCAGGGAGTGGAGTGCTGTGTGTACCCCGCTAGAACGCCAAAGGCTGCCGGCTGGCGAGTATTGGAAGCTGGANCTGGAAGCCCTGTTCCTCATCATGGGCGTCTCACGCCGAGAAAAGGGAGACGACACCTACTTACAGGCCTGTGGAAAGGATTACACAGGGTAACGGAGGAAAACTTCCTAGCATATGGTAAGAACTCAATTAGTGGTATTACCTCTTGTTGCAATTTTTCTTGCTGTTCTATATTTTTAAAAAATATTACGCTACCTCAGAGAACATTTCTGAATTCATTTCCATGTGTCCCCATCATGGAATCAGCTTTCGGGTGTACACAGGCTGACAGAAGCCTCCTGAAACCGACGAGGGGGTCGCACGAGGAACGCCCGCTGCGGAGCTTACCTTGCTCTTCTTACTGCTGGACATTTTATTCTTGATGTAGCTGAAAGTACGGCTGACTTTTGTTCCACTCTTCCCTTCAAAATCTTTCTTGGAGGGGCTCTGTGGCCCGAAATTATAGGTCTCTTCTGTGATACTAAATAAAAACAAGAAGACTGAGGTTTCAGAAAAGACAACAGAAGTTAACTTTTAAAAATTATAACACTTGCTGTAAAATTCTTTCTAACCACCTTTGTCATACATTACTTTAGCTACAAGGCAGCTTATATACTCCCATGAGTATGAGAGATCGAATACGAGATGGACAGAGGCTGCTGAGCAGTTTCATACAATAACATCTGAGGACAGAGCAAACCACGGTACCCGTGTTCTATCACCAAAGCCCGCCCAGGCTTTCTAGTACCAACCACCCATGTTTTAGTAACGGATTTCCAGTGGTCTGATGTTAAATAGAGGCTATCAATTTTTCATTAATTATTTTATCTAAAATTTCTCAATCTAAAATAGCATTCCATTTACAATTTTTTTTTGCATCAAACAGGTGTTGAAAAGAAACCCATGAATATGATGGCATGACGGACCTGTCAATTAAGGTTGCAAACCAAGCATATTCAAGTTCCCTGATGGCACAAATGACACATCTTTTGAAATTTTTTGGCACAGTGGACAAGCAGCACTGTGGAATGGTGAACACTTCCACGCATAAGCGTAAGGAAGGAATGTACTGAGTGGCAGCAGAGTTGAGGCAGGCTGTAGAAAGATTTGTCTCAGGAGTTTCACACAGATCCAGATGTATTAATCTACTTGTTCAGGAAGCCCACACAAAGCCAAAGTCCATCCATGACGGACGTGTCTGTACCTTAGGAAATTCATGATGGTTGATTTCCTCAAAGAATGCTTGGCACTTGTATACACAGTCCATTATACAGAAGAGGAATCTAATTAGACTATTTTCCCTTAGAGCTCTGGAATAGTTATTTTAGAACTTTTCCACAGAATAGTGTTTACCTTAAGGGCTTCGGTAAGAGAACAGAGGGCAGACCCCCATGGTGTCCTCATAAATAGCTGAAGTCTATTTAGATATAAAGTATTGTTTACAAAATAAAACTATCACTAACATAAAGGGGAAATGATGCGAAAACCACTGCTCTAAAAAGGGCAGAGCATCAATAAAATATGAAAAAAATGCAAAGAGGAGCATTCACATTGAGAGAGTTTGGGATCACTGAGTCACAACTGAGGCCTTTGTGAAAAAAAAAGGCCAATTTTGAAAAAACTGCAGGCCAACAGTCAGAACCCCAATGATGCGTAAGTTAGAATATGTAATCGCATAAGCATGACAAGAGGAATATAAAAATAAACAGTGAGTCAAAACAGAAATCTTTTGCCTGTTGTCAAGTAAAGAAGCAATTTACTTAAGTTGGACAGAGCTGTGTACCATGTCCATGCACGCAAAAGAAAACAGCTTTAAAGCTTCAAATGGCTAAGCGGGTAGCAGTGCTGTGTGAACGTATATATATAGAGAGAGAGTAAGTTTCCCCTTATCCGTGGTTTCGCTGTTCAAGGTTTCAATTACCCACGGTCAACACAGTCTGGAAATATTAAATGAAAAATTCTAGAAACAAACAAGTTTTCAATTGCATGTCATTCTGAGCAGCATGGTGAACTCTCCCACCATCCTCAGGACGTGAATCATCCCTTTGTCCAGCATCTCCACGCTGTGCTGACTCCCAGCCTAGTAGCCATCTCTCAGTTATCAAAGTGACTATCTTGGTCTCTCAGCGCTTGCCTAACCCTTAGAGCTAACGCTGTGTCACAGTATGCACGTCATTCAGCTCACGTGACCTCATCACATAGGCGCGCATCACCTCACATCATCACAAGAAGGGTGAGTCCGGGACAATAAGAGATTTTGAGCAAGACCACATTCACATAACCTTTATTACGATATATTATTATTGCTCTATTTTTATTAGTTACTATTGTTAATCTCTTACTGTGCCTAATTTATAAATTAAACTTTATCATAGGTATGTATGTATAGGGGAAAATATATAGTATATATAGGGTTTGGTACGCTCCGTGGTTTCAGGCATCCACTGGGGTCTTGGAATGTATCCCCTGTGGATAAGGGGGGACTACTGTACGTACCCTGCTTCCCCCCACACACACAAATTTATGAAACAAAATGTTGTTAGACTTAGGAATTAAAAATCACCAGAAGCACAGAGTACAAACGTCCATAGTCAAACAGAAGTGTTTTCTCACATGAATAAATGCAGCCAGTAATTTTAATCATTAGGATCGTGTAAAGAACAAAAGTGGAAAACTGTTGAAGACAAAATTTAAAAATGATACAGCCTTCATTGCAAACCACTTCTGACCACCATTCCAAATTTATCACTCAAAGAAAAGTCGAATGAGCTCAATTAACTTAGCCTACTTAGTTATATCCCATAAGACACACTGGATTCCCTTCACTTCATCCTGGGGAAAAAAGAGTAACAAATCAATATACAGTACCTCTCCGTCAGGTTAGCACTCGTGTTGTGGAAAGGCCGTGAATCTAGAAAACAAAAATGGCAGAGAAAACATTAGAACCAAAGGGTTGTACCCAGAGGACAGATAAATGTTTGGAATGTTTTCAGTGACACAGATAAAGCAGAGATAGCATTTGAAAGCCAGTGTGTGGTGCCTTCTCCTCCCAAGGGTTTGGAAGAAGGAAAAATCAAATTTGAAACCTTCAAAGAAGAACTGGAAATAGGCAGCAATAGGGAGGAAATTTCCCAAGGCAGGGGGGGATTAATCCAAGATTCAAGTAACTGAACAAACCCCAAATCAATATGTTTTCCTAAAGTTCAAACATACATGAAACATGTCTAATTTCTGTTTAATCAAATGTTCAGTTCCCACAGGCCATCTTCCTGAGATGATGATGTCAT